TCGTAGACAAATACATGTGGAGAGACCCAGAGATGAGAGACTGAAAGAGACTCCAGGTGCCACCTGTGGTAGTTACATAATCTCTTGAGGAAGGGGTGGAGTCTATCCTGTCAATCAGGTTGCAGCTTGATGACCTCATTTGGAGGCGCAATGGAGATAAACAGCTCCCTGGAGGCCAGAGACACATTCTCTGCTACGCATTCCTGTTGACAAGCCAGATGGGACTACAATGACAGAGACGAAGCCCTGGAGCTGAAGGAGCCCTGTGGAGACATCTGCCAGTGCTGAGATGCTTTCACTGCCACTGGATCCACACGACTTTCCACCCACTGGCCTGTGATCTTCCTGCATTTGGCATCATCATATGGCTGCGTGAGTCTAAAGAGGAATTTATGGGCTAGTATCAACATATGGGGCAATATCAGACTTACGGACTTGATCTGGGACATTTCATACTACACTCGGAACAGATCTTACAGAAAATGCCCAGAATCTCAGTCAGTCTTAGAGAAAACTGGAATTAGGAAAAGAAAGGCTCTGGCCTCCAGAAAAGGACCCTCACACGACAGTTTAAAGGATGACTTCATAGAGTTGTTCCGGATTATGACTGAACAATAGCACTCTTTTTTAATGAACTATTTGAATGCTGATGCATAATAGATAAAAGCAATTACTGTATTATTTGAGCAACTTCAACATTTCTTGTTTGACCTCTAAACATTTCATTGTTTGTGGGACTCCTGAGGCTTCTTGAGCAAACCTTCAGTTTCTGCAGAGGACAATAGGAAATCCACTGACCACTGACTGGCCCTGCTCTGTGCTCCGAGTCACCCTGGTGCTCTTTAGCAATTACAATAGCATTGCTAGCAACACAGTGTTGATGAAAAGTACAAAACTTAAATACAGATCCTTCAGATCTGTTTGAGAAGGAAAACAAACCCTAGGCTTGCTTGTTTAGACCACTTTTTCTTATTTATTCCTAGACAATTATATTCATGTTTTCTAAATCATTGCCCAGCTACTCGTTGTCCTGAACAATTTCCATTTCTATTTAATGCCTGGGTCTTGTAATTTCTTGAAAAGGACAAAGACATAAGTCCAGTCAAGGCCATAAGACGGCTTTTCTCCCAGGAAACTGTCAGCCAAATTTCTCAGGGAGGAACTGGGAAATGAAGTCAGAGACATTGATAAATTTCCCTGCTGAACAATCAATAAAACCCCACCATCCTGCTCAGACTCCCACTGTGGAAGCAAGGGCCGTAATTACATTGTCAAAAATTCAAGTTGCTCAGGCTGACAGCGAACCCTTTGCAAAGTGACATATGATTGGCACTGGTTTAGACTGGGGAACCCGGACTGGCAGGCCGGCTAACAGAAGCAAAAGGCTGGAGTGAAATTTCCACGTTGGCTACAGTTCCCCTAAAACCCCCAAACATCCACTCTGGAGGAATCCCATGACCTTGTGTCATATTTACATATCAGAGCGAGCAGCTGACAGGACAACGAAATAAGCATCTAAACTCTACCAGAGAATCAGAACATGCCCTGTTCCTACCCTCACCAGAACAGGTAGAAAGCACACTCTGTATAGTGTGTGTATATGTAAGTATAGAGGGGTGTGTGTGTGTGTGTGTGTGTGTGTGTGTGTGTGGTGTGAGAGAGATTTTCTGCAATAAAAAAAAAGATATAAAAAGTGCATTCAACTTTATCTTTCCTCTAGACAGCTGAGCAGCAAAGCCTGTTTGCTTAGCAATTTTAATCTATGACAAAATCAGCTGGAGTAGAAGGGTTGCAAAGGGGCAACTGTGAAGAATGAGGTGGGAGGGAGAGTGGAGAAAGCGCTATTATTGTGTGATTCCATATACCCCGAGCTGGAGTTAAATTAGAATCCGTCAGTCCCCTTACCACTGGATGTTACGAATAAAATGCAAGCAATAGGCCTCGCTTGCTGGGCAGCGATCTGCTTCCGGCTATGCTGGGGCCCATGCAAATGGTTTCCAAGAAGCTTTATTGTAACCATGCCCAGCCATGGCAGTTGTTCCCTACTAGGAAGCAGCTGTACCAAGAGAGATTAAAATCAAAAGGTGTTTACTCCCTGGGTGGTAGGAACAGAGCAGAAGATGTCTGGGAATGTTGTTCATGATCTCCAAAGCAAAAAAAAAAAATCTTTCCTCCTCTGATGAGAGAAGATAGAGGGGAAAAAAATTATCAACAAGAGAAATCTCTAGGCAAAATTTACCCCATATCAAACACTGACACATGAGCTAACTGGTACCAGAGACTCAATCTCTGGTGTGTGGGTAGGTGGGGTGGGGGGAGGGGGAGGATAACGTCATTACAAGAGAAATCGTGAATACTTACTATTTACTGTGTGGCCACACTGGGAATGGCCAAGTGTCACAAGTCTCTGAGGTGGACTGATTTTTCCTGATTTTATAGAGATTAATTTGCCCAGGGCCCTGCCTGCTAGTTGCAGGGATGGGCTGATTTCTGGTTCCAGAAGTATTAACCACCAAAGCAAGTGTGTTCCAAGTGTTTTCCATGGACCACCTGGACCCTAACACTGGAGGGGTTCACTGGCATGCACCCTTCTGGACACACACCCCAGGAATCTGAGTTTTAGCCATTTCCTGAGAACAGTCTCCAGACTTCAGGAGAATCTCCTCACTCCCTTGTCCTGGGAAACTCAATGAAGGCTGGGTCATTAGGGCCTTTCTGGATGTGAAGCAGTGAATCAAGTCATTCACTGTCTTTCATACTTGACAGCAAAAGAAAATTAGATTTTCCCCTACACCCCTGGTGTCCCCAGGCCCACCTTTGGCCTTGGGAAAAGGCCAGGGAAATTACTTAACGATTTCAGCAGTGATAGACCAGCATGCCGGAGGGGAAATCTGTTAACCCTTTGTGCCATTCTGGAACTCCTTTTATAAGACAGTAGTTCTGAAATTAGAAGGTCTCTGCTAATCCTTTAGGTCCTTCAGATGGCTGATGTAGGCCCTCCTGTCCTCCAGCAGTTTCTAGTGATAAACACCAGCCTATTGGGTTTGTGGCTTAAGTGGCTGTTGGACTAAACATTTGAAGATCATACAGAGAGAAGATCTTCACAGATTGTGGGCTACCAGATCAATAGTACTTACAGATAATGATAAAGCCACTTTCATTGATTCGATATTGACTCATAGTGACAGTGTAGGAGAGGATAGAACCCAAAGCCTTTGGGTTTGTGAGACAATAGCTATTTATGGGAATAGAAATGCAAGTGTTTCTCCCGAAGAGCGGCTGGTGGTTTCCAACTGCTTACCTTTCTGGTAGCAGCACGACAAGTACCACTATACCACCAAGGCTCCTCAGATAAAGATAGCAGAGCACAGAGTTGGTATTCTAAACATTTGGTAGGTTCTCTTCCAGTTTGTTACAGGTTTTCAAAGTCTCGTGTATGTAAAATGTGATCCCCCCACTGTCTACCGAGTGCTCTGCCTGGCCCACACTCAACACTTCATAAATGCCGAATGGAAAACAGAGAGAAGGAATCAAGAGATTACTATTTACCTAAATCCACCCTCCCTTAGTCATTTTAGTAGATGAACATTTTCACAGGGCTCCCCAACAGGGCTACAGGTCACAGCTAGAACGGTGGCCACAATGGAAACATGATGGCGGTCAGGTTCTACGGAGACCTGGTTTTGAGCCCCGGCAGTGGTTAAAGTGCCTGAATGAGCACAGAGTGTCAATGAGGATGACATGTGTTCTGGAGCTGGGTCACCTTTGAAGGCCGTATGTCCGTATGTTTGATCTGCCTTCCTCTCATGGTGTCTAAGGACAAGTTCCTGAATCTGAGAAGTATTCCATTCTGTGACGTGGGATTAGGTCATCAGAAAGCAGAGTTAAGTAGAAATACACTGTCGTCTCATCCCTGTCCTCTCCCAGGAACCCACAGATATGAGCCCATCTGTACATGAGCTCAACAGACCTCTACCTACACCTGTTCACAGAGGGGGACATAGCGGCTGCAATGAAATGAAAGTGTCTCCGGTTTGGGGTGTCAGGCTGGAAACATCAATGTAGGCTAGGCATTGCACAGTCAGTTTTCCCCAGGTGAAAGCTGCAGTGACGAACAGAAATCTCAGTGGATTATGACAACGAAGGCTTCCGCCTCACTCCAAGGGCTGACAGCAGTTTCCATGTGGGTTCTCAAGGTGAAGGAGCTGCCGCGGTCTGAGGCAGGCTGTTCTCAAGCAAAGGGGAAAGAGCAACATGGCCCAAACACGGCGGCGACTCTTAAACCTTCTGCTGGGCGATGGGTTATATCATTTCTGCTCCCATCCCATTGAGCAAAGCCAGTCCAGGGCTAAGTTCCCTCTTCACAGGGGCAGGGAGGCGCGCTCCACTCACAGCGAAGCAGTGCACCCACAGGACGGTGCATGAAAGCCACGCACACCCCACATCCCTCCCCTGTTGACTCACAGCGACCCTGCGGGGCTGTCACATCTTTCTCCCCAGAACGGCTGGCGGGTATGAACCCCTAACTTCTCAGCTAGCAGGCAATGTGGTATAATCCTCTTACAGGAAGGGGAGTGAACGAATGGGAGCCCATGCATAGGTTTGTGACAGGAATCAGGACAATTAATATTTCTTATTTAAGGAATTATTACCTGTGCTCCTGTTGACCTTGTTGCCTCAGAATCTGGTAGCCAAAAGGTGGCTGGTGTGTTTGTAATAGCTTTGTAGTTTTCTTCCACGGCCACACATGGACGAGACCAGCAGTTCTCAACCTGTGGGTCGCGACCCCTTTGGGGGTCGAATGACCCTCCCACAGGGGTTGCCCGATTCATAACAGTAGCAAAATAACAGTGATGAGGTAGCAACGGAAATGATTTTATGTTTGGGGGTCACCAGCACAGGAGGAACTGTCTGAAAGGGTCGCGGCATGGGGAAGGTGGAGAACCGCTGGAATGGACACACTCTACACTCATTCCCTCTGGTCAAACTGCCGCTCTCACCATGCAGGAAAAGGCTTCCGTTCCGCACCGCCAGAAACGTGACTCCGTAGGGAAAGAAGGGGGACGAGTAGGAACTCCCGTAGAGTGTGATCTGGGCTTTCCCTTGGAAAGGCTTGTCCTCAGATCCGATCCGGAGCTCTCCGCCTTCAGACACCAGGATGGAGTGGGCCTTGAGCTCAATGGGTCCCGGAGCCATGAGAAGCAGCTTGCCTCCTGGTAATCCGAAAGAAAACTGTCAGTCTGTGGGAGGATGAAGCGCCCCTCTGGTCGACGCTTCCAAAGCCTCCTAAAATTATCTCTGTTGTTAGCCTTCTGCTCAGATTTCAACTTCTTTTACCTCAGTCTTTCTTCTAGAAGCACAGAAAGCTTGATCAAATACCTGGCACTGAACATACATTCTTACTGAGCCAGCGTACGCTCACTATCAAGTATGAGTGGGCCTACAATATGCCTTCCATTCCAAAGGATTCCTGGTGACAATGAAAGGGGAACTCTCTGTAGCTCAGGGACCCTATCTGTATCAGCCCCCCAAAGGTGACATAGCACCGTGCACTAGAGCTGTGCTCTCTCCCAGGGACTGCACGGTCAGCTCAGCATAAGCTACTCAGAGACTCCGACATTCAACTTCTAGTCCTCTCTGGTGAAAGCGTAATACAACACATGCAATGAATGTTATGTTTGCACCCAGTTCTCTGCAGCTTTATCTAGAATCTTTTTTATTGTAACAACAATCTACATGTCCAACACTCTTGGATTGGTTAAATAAACGATGTGAAAACTTCTATTTTTACCAGATGTCATCAAGGGAGAGAAATTAAATGTGTGTCTTTGGGGGCTGGGCACTAGGGAGCAGGTGTCCATGAAATGGAAGAAAATGTAGTAAAATCACAAGTAGCATAACAAAAGGAAATATACTGATGTATTAGCATCATCAAAGTTTGGTTGACCAGCATCACTCCTCCTTTCTTTAGATAATGGGCCCTTATTCCCTTGAATCATGGCACAGCCCCAGTACATAGAGCTGAGGGGACTGTCGGGCAAGGTATCCTGTGCTACCAGAATCCCAGTCTCACACACAGCCTCCCAAAAGAAATCTGGAGCAACAGGCGGGAAGGGCTGAGATCTCATTGATTGTTAGGGTGTCGTCCTATCAAGTCAGGGGAAAGCCCTGCTTCTGAACGTCCACTCCACCCCACCTCCAAAGCACAGAAGTGTCTATGTCTGCATCTGGTTTTCCAAACTTCCCATTGGTTCTGTAAGCTACCAAATACTTCTCCAATAAATTCCCTTTGGGGGGAAAGGGCGGAAAAGCTGCTTTCTGTTCATTACAATTGAATCACCTGAAATGATATTATTTTGCCCTAAAGTCCAATTATTCCGTAACAGAGGAATATTGATTTTTAAGACTATATTTTGAGAGTAAATAGTTAAGACAGTAAAGTAGTACTTTCACCTTTGCAATACTTTTATTCAAAGTGATTTAGCATATTTATATTTCACAAGATTTTCTCAACACCGGCATAATCAAAGCATCTCATATCAATAAACTCTTCAATATTAACGAGTGGTTCTCAGTCATTCCCCTCCTATAAGTGTTTTGCAAAAACATTGGACTAGACTTTCTGACTCACAATGATGTTTTCAGAGTTGTGACATTATACTAGAGACCCCTGCAGTCTGGAACAAAAAGTGGGGGTTGGGGGTTGGTGTAGGGGCTGTTCTCTGTACAGCCCCCAGACCAACCAACTTGGCTTCTATCACTAATAAACTAAAAAAGCTTATCACTGATGTTTTGGTTTCGCACATGAGTATTGCTGTTACCTGATTTTAAGTATCTGACTGTCCTACATACACATGTCTCAGAGATAAACATCTATGTTGTCTCCATGACCTAAAAGTCATCCATGGAGTCAATTCTGTCTCATAGCAACCCTGGACCCTCTGTGTAGAATTTCCCCTGTGGGTTTCCAAGACTGTAACTCTTTTAGGAAGTAGAAAGCCAAGTCTATCTCCGATGGAGATGATAGTGGGTTTGAACTGCTGACCTTGTGCTGAGTAACCCAACACGTAACCACTATGCTACCAGGGTTCCTGATCTAAAGGCAGATGGAGGATATGGAGAAGCAGGATGTCCGTGATGGCTGTCTTGGTGGGGAGAAGTAGAGAGCAGACTCTTAACCTCCTAAATCCAGTCCCAAGTCCAATGTGCCAAATTGTCAAATTGAGCCAGTGTTGCTTTCCAGAAATCACAACTGGAAGCAGTTCAACGTGCACCTGAGTAATGAGAAGTGAGAAGAAAAGGGCAAATGTACCGTTGTTCATGTTTGTTGACCTCCAGCTTAGTACGGAAAGAGTGGCTAATGCATGTTTGATCCCGCGGTCAGACTTGGAGGCCATTTCTTCCCGGACGTGTTCTAAAGTTTCTCTTCAGCTTCCTTCGGCCTCTGCATCAAACCCTCAAGTCTTTCGTCCTGAAGTCCAAACCACACACCATCCGTGACAACCACATGAAGTTTACCTAAACGATATGTGCATGATTTCTAACCGAAACGTCAGTGGCTGCAACCCACTCACTGAGGCAGGGGAGAAAGGCCTGGTGATCTGCGACCACCACAATTATAACCTACAAAATCCTGCGGAGCAGCTCTGCTCTGCCAGCCCGCACAGCTCCGTGAGTCTGAATGGACGTGACAGTTTGGTTTGGTGTTTTGCTATGTTTTGTTCAGGGGGTAGGGTTCGGGGTGGGGGTGAGGGTTGGTTTTCTGTTCAGCCACAATTTAGAATGACGCATCCTGCCTGGACATCCAGTTTCCTCATCTGTAAAATGTGAATATTCAGCGATTCCCCCTTCAGAGTGTCGGAGTGATGTTGATTGAAATAATACGGGTAAGTCCCTAGCATTGGGTTTGACACCTATTAGCCATTTCACGTGACGGTGTCTCCTGCATTTGTCCCGTCTTTCTCCCACTTGTCTCTGACACCACTCGATGTCTACCACTGCTCCACTACGTTAGCGCACTTCTTCTGAAATATGGGGTGTGCCTCATACTCGAAGGAAAACCATCCAAGAAGCGAGAGACTATTCTTTGGTAACCTACTGGCTTAATGCCAGGGTGTCATCACACTGCTTCCCAGACATTCAGTGGGCTGTCTGTTTGGTTTTTACTTTAGATTTCCCCTCCATTGGAAGTATGCACAGTATTGCCATCCAGTCAATTCCAACTCAGAGTAACCCTACATAGAGTTTCCAAGGTTTCGCAAGCCTTTATGGGAGCCAGCAACCTCATCTTTCTCCCAAGGGTTTGAACTGCCCACCTGGCAGTTAGCAATCCAATGCTTACCTGGCAGCACATCACGGGTTTGTCAGCAGATACAGAAACGCCATGATAGTCATGAAGGCTGCTGGGAATGACAAGTAAGAAAAGGACCTATGCTGCAGGTTCCACTTGATTTTGTTTCCCAAATCTAAATGCAGCCCAGTCACATAACATTCATGTTCCATATAAGTACCTGAACTCATTGTCCATGGATTTGCATGCCAAGACATCCTCTGTTATAATTACTTAGGACATCGGAGCTGACCTTTATGAGCAAATATTGGAGGCAGGGTCTCTGTGCTGACTACTCTACTGGCCTCTGAAATGATCCTTATTAAGCTTCTTAAGTTGCTGGATCTCAGTTTCCTCAGGCTCCAAATCTATCCCATTTGGCACCTTGTGATGGCCTCATCTTTAAGTGGAAAGTAGAGTTGCATATTCATTGAGGCAGCTTCCAGCCCCAGAACACTTGGGCAGCCACTCCTTGGATCATGCATGGGACAGTTATGACAATAGTTTGAGTTTTCCTGACATTGCTGATGCTGTAGTGAACTTATAAATCTATTACATGCACAGTCAGGTAAAACAAGGCGATCTACTTCCAAAATATTAGCCATTCAAAACTCTATGGAACACAGTTCTACTCTAACAACACGCATGTAGTAGCTATGAGTTAGGCATGAGTTGAAGAGAACTGTTTTATCAGGCACCTACTATGTGCCTCAGTGGTACAAATGGTTTGCACTCACTCTAAAGAGTGGCACTTCTCTCGCACAGAGGCTCTTGAGAAAAAAGTCTTGGTAATTTACTTCTGTAAAGAGTATAGCCAAGGATAAGAGCTGTAGGAGCCCTCAATAAAATGATATATCAAAATTAATACAAATATATTTTTAAAGATTATAACCAAGAAAGTCTCATGGGGCAGTTCCAACATAAAAATATGTTATTTTTAAAAAGATTTAAGGGATCGCAAATAACTCTTCAATTCAACTTCTGAGCTAAGAATTAAAGGTCACTGAATTTAAAGCAAGTGGAATTTGGTCTATCAGAATACCTTGGTTAATTCCTTTCAACTTCTGGATAATGGGAAGAGTTTCCAGAGATATTGCTGTTTATTTTTTTATATGAATCCTAAGAGCTAATATCTTTAAAATCACTAGTAAATAAAGTCTACCAGAAATTGCTGGGCTGCCTGGGACTGAGGAATTTTCTAGGACACAAGACTTTCATCTTGAACCTGGGAAAGTTCCATATAAGCCAGAAAAAGTTAGCTACCCAATTAATAAATCATCCTTAACATTCTTCCCTCTCAAACCAAACTCACTGCCATCAAATTGATTGTTGCACATAGAAATTCTATAGAACAGAGTAGAATTTCCCTGAAAGGGTTTCCAGAACTGGAGATATTTATGGAAGCAGACCACCCACCCTAGCTGTCTCCTGAGGAGCAAGGGGTGGGTTGGAATCATGGATTTTTTTCCTGCTCAGCTAAGCACTTTAACCACTGTGCCACAAGGGCTCCTGGTTTTAAAATTCCCACGAACCTTATATCCTGTGATCTGTTCTGCAACAAATTCTTTGAGAACTAATTAAAAAACAACAACAACAAGCTGGACTTAAATGTATTAACCTACATTTTACTTAGTTTTATCCCCCCCCCCCAAAAAAATGTGTCTCATGGAGTTAATAGTCTAGGAGGAGACAGGAATTTCTTACAAAAGGATGCCTGCGTGCTGGTGGTGTTGGCTCATCACAAGCACAACAGAAGGAAACACTTTGCAGCCTCCTTTACCCTCACAATTGCTCTTCTGTTCGAGCCCATTGATGCGGCCACTGTGTTCATCCATCTTGTCAAGGGCTTGCTTTTTTTTTTTTTTTTTGATGCCTCTTCACGTT